TTCATCTTCCATTAGCATTATGACATTTTCCTGCTGTCGTATTTTTAACTGTTCCAGAACACTTTGTTTTACTGTAAATGTATATTAACCATGAGACAAGACCAGATTGTTGTAATATGAGCTTCCTGAAGATCCATGAGAGAAAGTTCTGTTTGGGCCACAGAACTTGGAACAGACTTAAAGGAGTATTTGTTGATTAAGTTCTTGCTTGGCGTTCATATCCTTGCCTCACCTTCTCAACTGAGCCCGGAAGACCAGGGTGAGAAACCAGGTTGAGAGGCAAGCTGATGGTCCTCAACTATCATAACTCTGCCAGCTTCATCTGTAGAGGTGAAATGGAATATAGAAACTTTATTGTTTGGCGTACAGACCAAAAACTCAGAGAATATAAGATTGAAATCTCAGTTATTTAAGCAATGTCCAGAGGGCCTCCAGGCCCATGTTTTTTGAAAATTATCTCATAGGTGTTAGCTCTCTTTTTAAGTTTTAAGATCTCAAAAGCAACTGACTGGCTCCTTGGCTTAGCTGTTACACGTGAATATGGACATAATACTGAATGATTCAAGGACTCAGTATCTGAAAATATAAAAGAGGCTGACAGTGCAGCTAAAAATACGGAAGCACTAATCATTTTGCATGTGCATAATGCCGATTTTAAGGCTGGCTTAACACCCCTGGCTGACCTTCAGATTCTAAGTCATCAGCATCACCTGGTAATGCTCAAGGTCCCATGCTGTTAGGTCCAGATTCACATGATACAGGTGCAGTTGCTAAAGCAAAGCAGACAATACAAGGGTTGATTGACAGTTGCTTTAGAGGAGCATAGCCTTGGTTTGACACAGGAGATGCAGTTCTTGATGAAGCTGCTCAAATTCTGCAATTGCTGCACTTAGAAGAGCTCAGAGAGACACAGAACAGAATTGTTGCAGCCGCTGTAGCTGTTCAGACAATTGCTGCTGATCCAAAGACAGACCAGAGCCTGGGGAAAGCTGCAAGGTGAACATTTTAGGATTCCAGCCTCTCACTGACCCAGCACAATTGGGAACAACGTACACCTTGGCATGCGTTTGGAAATCAAACTTCACACTTGCAAGAAAAGTACCCCAGAAAATTGACTATGTTTTAGAGATTTACCATCCTTGCTTTTCTTCCATAAAGGTTGGGAAAGATTTTGCTTGTCTTCTTGTCTCTCCCCATCCTAATGCCCTAATATGTCAGAAAGGAAGGTTAGCATATGGGAGAGCAAAGGTGGAAGTAAAGGAGAGAGAGGAAGAAGTGTTTGCTCGGACCCCAGATGTAGTTCAAGGATCACACAGTCCTGAATACACTAATTTCTGAGTGGAGTCATGAGTCTCACTCATGTCACCAGAGGGAGAGCCACTACATTTGCATTAAGTAAGCTTATATGACAAAGCAGAGCTTTGGGTTCTGAACATTGATTCTGTCACAGAATGTAAGACAGTTTAAGGAGCAGAGTGTAGACAGAGAGGACATTGTGTGTCCCCAGGAAGAGTTAGAGACCTCAGAGAACAAGGCAAGAGACTTGACAGAAGTCCATCTTTTCTACCTGGAGAGACTCAGTGAGTGGGTTTGAGCCAGACTTTCTACAAATCTGTGCTGTCTTTGAAGAAGGGAAACCCATGAGGAAAATCAAACAGAGAATTGGCATCAGACAGGATTAGACATCACATGTCTACAACACTGGGACAGGATGTTCAGGAGAATTGACAGACAGCCCCTCTTCCCATTCACCATCACCTCTCTGCTGCCTCTCAGAGAGCTACTGTCCAAGGGACTGTCTCCTGTGTGTTTGGTAAAATACACAGACCTAAGGCAGGCATTTCACCCTTGTTTGAGTGTACGTGCAATTTGACTGGACACAGTCCCAGTCAGTTCTTTCACCATCTCCAGTAGTAGCATGGTCCATTCAGTGACACTCCCATGGAGCAATCCATCCCTCTCTCAAATCTCCACTCCACCTCTGTGCTGGTGCAGGGCAATCTCTCATGTCTCACATGGCCAGCAAGTCCTGACCAAAACGCTCCTTCACAACACCCTAAATCTCTCAGTGTGACAACAGGGAAACATCCCAATGACCTGCAGAGGCTAGGCTCACAGGGATAGAGGAGAGACCAGGGGAAGGTCTCCAGGTGATGGTCCATGTAGCTGGACACTCTGACTGCCATGCACCTCCTTGCGGTCTCCTTCCCAGATCATTAAGGAGCTCAGCCACCAAAGTAGTTTTCCTGTTGCACCACTAGAATGTGGAGGTGAGGAAGGGGAATCACATGGGTTCTACTGTAGATGTCCCCACATGTGGATCCTGGAGTGGGGCTTGGGCCTCACTGTCTTTTGATGTCTTCCCAGTTGATCCTGAGAAAATACAAAGGCAGCCTTGACGGGCAGTGTGTAGGGCATCCTTCATCCCCCTGACAGTGGTGGTAATAGTCTGTCACCTTCCTGGAGATGAGTCAGGGCAAAATGAGACTGCAATTGTCAGCCTTTGGGGGAAATGTCACCCATAGGGCTATTGGATGCATGTGAAGTCTTAGGTGTTTTAGAAATAGTAACAATGAGAACACTGGTGCCTTTGTACTGTCAGTTCAGTCGGTATGGTCTCCAATGAACTTTCTGCTGTGAATACCAGACCACAGAAAAGTAAAGTGCTGCCAGAGGGTTGGCAGCACCATTCTGTGAGTGTGTCTCCGTGTGACTGCATATCTACAGGTGGGCTGTGTGTGCCACCATGTGCACCATCTGTGTGTCAGAGAGTGTAACCTGTGTGTCTGTGTGTAAACGTTTATTGTAGGATGTGAGAGTTAGAGAAGGCCCCTCTGAGGAGGGGATCTGAAAGGGGCCTCAAGTTATGGTAGTCAGGTGTCCTGTGCCAGGGACAATACCTCCTTTGTGGAGGCAAAGGGACCACCACAAGCCTGGTGCAGAGGTGCTACCCAATGTAACACAGGAGAAATGGCCCATGGCCAAGGATCGCTAGTAGAGAGCCTGGTGAGCAGGACGATGTGGTCAGAGGAAACCAGGCTCTGGGTCGTGCAAGGCCTCATGTGCAATGCAATCCATGTCTCCCATGTTCCCTGCGTGGCCCCGTCTGTGTTTCTCGCGCTGTCCCCAAGGGCATCACAAGCTCTTGTGTTTACGAAGCATAGTATGTGGACTGAGTATATAATTCATTCAGAAAACAGAGACTAATGTAAGTGTACATGTTCCCTCAAGTGATCAAAAACACACTTATTGTAAAGACTTTGGGCATAATTAATAATAGCGGATAACTCTTAATTTTTGGTTACTGAGTCATAGCTTGTCCTTCACACATCCTTCATAATTAGAGTACTATTATCAGAGTATATTATTAGAGTACTACTAATAAGTACTCTTCCTTGAAACATTTAGAAACCCGTAACCTCTTGTGTTTCCAAGTTGCAGATGTAAGGTTGGAATCCCACTTGGAGGCTCACAGTGGGGTCAGTAAAGAGAGTGTATGGCAGGAGGGTCCTCTCAGACCCAGAGGCTGTTCAGGGGACTGGGGTACAGTGCTAAAAAGACCCCAGGACTAGACAGTGAACACAGATGTGCAGATGGGAAGCCCAAGATGTCCCAGGGATGCTAGTACACGGAGGGGATAGAACCTAGTGGACTCTTAGGTGTCAGGAAGGAGATGAGGTGAAGTAGGCTCATAAAACCCTGCCACAATCCTGGGACACCCACCCACCAAATCAATATTCTAAACTCGGGGCCAGTCGTTTATCCACCAGGGCACAAGGGCCTTTGCAGATGTGATGTGAGTGCAAATTGTGAGGTAGGGAGAAATTCTGAATTTCCTAGTGCCTCTCAATGCCATCTCACATACTGTAATCAAAGGAGGCAGAGAGAGATTTGCAAACACACAGAAAGGGAGAAGGCAAGGTCCTCTCCCAGGACAGAGACCAGAGCAATGTGGGACCAGACCAGGTCTGCCATCAGCCTTCAAAGGTGAAAGCAGCCAGGAACAGATGTTCACCTTGCCTCTCCAGGGTCAGTGTGGCTCTCCTGATGCTATGATATGGGCAGAGAATTCCATGTTATTCTTTTGTCCCCCACGCTTGGAGAAAAACCTTCTCTGAAGCAACCAAGCATATGGTGCTCTATCCCAGCAGGCACTGGAAATTGATCCTGGGGCCTAGAGTGTGCCCAGTGCTCTGAGTCAGCTTTCTCCCTGTAGGTCAGGGCCATCACCTGGGCAGGGCTCCCAAGGGAAGGGTGGGATGGGCAGAGACACTGTGCATTGGACCATTCTTCTTACAGTAAGTGTGAACTGAGTGCATGTTGTTGCCCAGATGGCAGAAGGGTGTTTATTTCTGTGGCTTTAGGGGGAATTGGAAGAAGGAAGAGTTTCCAAGTGCAGTGAACAATGTGAGTATGCAGAGAGCAAAGAGTTCCCTGAGGGTGAGCCCCAAGATTCACTACAAAGTGAGAAGTGGACAGAAAACAAATTACCCTGCATCTTCCCAAAATGGATATCCAGGGAGGGGTAAGGACCAGGCAGGCTGTTTGTGCTTCTGATGTGGATGGAATGGTTGTGGGGCTGCTGGTTGGGAACTGTGTGACTGCTCAGGGAGGTGGCACTTCCCTCAGCCAGACCAGAGGCAAGACCCTTTGGAGTGACTTTAACCACTCACCCTCCTATTCTTTCCCAGCCCTGTGACTGGGCATCTGTAGAGAGATGAGGGATTGCTCCTGAGCCAGCAGTCTCTCTGGGATCTCTCTCTCAGGCCACCATGGTCACTGGACACTGGGTTTTTAGAATGTACTGTGGACACCACTTAATGGCCACTTCATGAGGTGAACAACCCCAACTCCAGGGACAGACACTTGGATGAAAGCAAGACAGGTAGAGAAGTGCAGGGCAAATACTTTATTGAAGCAAGATGTTGAAACCTGCACATTTTCTGGGGATCATGTCATCCTTGAATGACAGAGGCTCTCATGTGTAAGATGTTTAAAGTTTAGTTGTTACATTTGGACTCTACAGTTTTCTGAAATAAAGAGAGACAGGGGATGTCAGTCATGCTGCCTCTGGAGATGAAATGTTCACAGGGACTTCTGTTTACACCAACATGAGAATTACATCACATCCAGTAAAGGAACATGGAGCCATTAGGCAGGAGAACCAAGTGGTTGGGGAATTCAATAGTCCTGGTGCAGTCACAGCAAACCATGCAGGACAGGGAATAACATGTCTATAGCCTGAAAAATAAACCCCAAGTGACTCAGCCTTGGGGCTCAGGTCTCTAATGGAGCCAGGAGAGGGGCAGGGGTTGCACTGAGCAGCCCAGGATTTCCTTCCTCTGAGTCCAGGTGTGAGGGCTCTATGTTTTCACTCCAAAGTGAGTGCAGGGTGAGATAAGGATGGGGGAGTGTGGGACCTTCTGCCTACAGAAGATGCACTGTGTCCTTGAGGAAATCAACCTGACAGCACGTGGACATCACACTGAGTTTCTAGCCTGTGCGGAAGTTCGTACCAAACCCAACTTCATTCAAGGGGTGGACAAGTTGGAAAACAATTGTAAATATCTGATTTCTTTCCCCACACATAACAGAAGTGTTTCAGCTCCCTGAGAGGATGCAGAGGATGTAACAGGCAGGGTCTCTGTTCACTGGCTGTGACTGATGAGGGCAGAGGTACAGGGAGGGGCTCTCTCTGTGAGAGCTGGTGGAGCCCCCAGTCAGACACCCCTCCATACTGACAGACAGCCTGGGCCATATCCAGTCCTGCTCTCTCCCCTCCAGCTCTCCCCAAACTCCATGACACTCCCCAGGGACTGAGCCACTGTATGAGGGAACTGGCCCTCTGACCTCTGAAACCTCCCAGGCAGGGAGGCAGCTGCCTCTGCCCTTATCACCACCTGGGTCTGGGTTGTCCTCCCCAGGACACTGTGGGTACACATGCCCGAAGAGGTGACCTGAGAAGAAAGAACATGCTACACCTACTATGCAGCCTTAGTCTAGCTCAGCAGGTGTTGTGTCATTATCCACCCTGTTGCCACAGGCCACTATGTCAGAGGTGAAAAGAGGGGTATGTGCCTCTCCTTCCTGAGCCCACAGTGCAGCACCCTGACCTCCCACCTGGCTGTACAACTGACCAGAAGCCCTGATAGAGGAAGGAGGAACTATTTACCAGAACATTGTCAATTTTCTTTCTGTCTTGGAAGGGCATAAGATCTATGCATTGCTTCACATTCATCATGGCCTCAAGATCTTCTCTAGCTGGAAAAAATCTCAGAAGATTGATGTTGTACAGCTTTGCAGAGTCTAAAAGTAAGCTTCTATGTTCAGAAATATAAGCTGGACAGATTCTTGCATTTGCTGGAACAAAGAAGAAGAAATACACTTGATTTAAGGAAGTCACATTTTCCCCATGGTCACCTGACCTTAGGTAGGGAATACCAGGGGTTTTACAGTCCCATCCCATATTGGTAACAATGACAATGGAAAATCCTAGAAGTTGTGACTGCACAAATCATGTAGCTGCACCAGGGCTGGTCTTACAAAACAGGTTCACTGAGCCCGAGTTCAGCTGTTCTACTGCGTAAAGTACACTCAGGCCTTTCCAAAACTCTCCTGCTCTGCTGAAATTCACTTTCCCTGGATTTCAGAAATTAGAGTTTGGCCTGTCATAAGACTGACACGTTCTTTGGTCTTGGACATCGTGGGAGAAATCCTTTTAGTGACCAGTCTTTTCAGCAGAGTGAGACAGGAAGATCTCACAGAGATCAGAGAACAGGGAGCAAGTCTGAAGAGGAGCAGGGGCAATGATGGGATGTTGACATGCTCTTTTGAGAGCAAATTAAACAGTAGAATTATGTCATTGGGTGAAGACAGCTAAGAAACATAGAAAAGAATCTGAGGCTTACACAACAACCACAAGTAGCTCCTCTGGTCTTCATTGGATACAGAATTCCTTTGAGATGGTGGGGTTGGCAATGGGTGCCTGCTTTCGGCTCCAAGGGGATTTTGCCAAGAACTGAAGTCACCATTCTTCTTGGTCTGAGTTCTCCATCCCCACTCCACACTCTGCCCCTATGTCTTTAACCACCCGCAGCAGGGCATGTGCCCTGCTAGGCTCCCATATGACCTGATCAGACAGCAGCTCTGCAGAGATGGGAGAGGTCAGATCAGATGAAACATGGGGAAACAGGAGGCATTCAGAGGTCAGAAGGAAGAGAAATATTCAAAAACAAGGGTGAGACAACACAACGAAGTATTGTTGGATGAGTGGCTAGAAGTCTCTTAGAACCACAGCTAGTGTGGCCCTCAGATTTTACTGGTTCTTCCAATCCTAGGTGGATTCCCAGAAAAGGAGCAGGGCCTGTGGTGTATTGAGTGCAGCTGCTCCTGACTGATTCCTGAGAGAGCCATAGCACACTGGCTCTTCTTGAACTGAAAACTCTCCAAAAACCCTCTTAGGTGCAGCATTCTATGAGTCTGAAAGACAGAGTTTGAGAGCTGTGGACTCCACTGGCACCAAAGACTCTGGGAAGGAGAAGAGCTGATGAGACCCAGAGCTGGCTTCTGACACCCTTTCTCTCACTACACGATCACAGCAGCTCTTGCTGTTGGCTGTGGACACCAAGGATGAGAGGAGACTTGGAGGTTGAACATTTGTTCAAGCACAGTGCTGCTGAGTGGCAGAACCATGATGCACATCCAAATCTTATCACACCCTGCTGCTTCTGAACATAAGTCCTAGACAGGGAGTCAGGGTTCAGATGGGTAGTTCTTCAAAGTGGCCTGAGAGGGTTTTCTGGAAAGTTCCAGGGTGTTGGGAACTGATGCAGGAGACTTTGGAGTTCAGTGGGTTAGTCCACAAATAGCAGGGCTGGTTTGGATTCTGATCCATTCATCCCTCTTCCTTACAAAAATGACCTACTTCATAAAAGGTTACTTACTTGGGCTGGTGGTAGTCTGATTCAGAGTGATACTCACCCTCATAGCAGCAAAGGGCCAGAGTGACCAGCAGGACACACAGGGACAGTCTCATGGTTGATGTTGCTTTGAGTTCAGCTTTAGCACACAATGAGCAATTAGCAGCTGGACTCAGCAGCTGGGGGAGCCCAGGCTATTTGTACCCAGTGAGCCTCACAGGTCCTGCCCACTCTGATGTGGCAGGACACAAGGCCTGCCTTCCAGCCCTCCCTTCCTCACTGAGGCCTGATGCCAACCATCATGGTCACATCCCCGATGACTTGGTCAGTCGTCAGCATTGCTGGCACAATGCCCATCTGCTTGGTGGTAAAAACTGTAGCTAAAGTTTTACAAAACTATGATCACTTGATTAGCAGGCACTCACCAAGATTCAGCTTCTTAACTGGAGTTTCAAAAATGTACAATCAGTTGATTGATGGGAACCTCCTTATAATTAGCTTCTTAATTGTGGGCAATGACTGGTTTTGCTCATCTGTCTCAGCCTAGCATCTGGCACAGAGAAGAGCCCAGGCACAAAGTCCTGGTATGTTTGCTTCTGGTCCATCTTAGTGCAAAAGGATGCATGCAGGTTAAGGGTCACTCTGGAAAGTTGATGGAGAAAGGTCCATGACATGGGACACTTGTGAAGATATCAGTGGTGTCTGGGTCTGGAGAGGACTCCATGCCAACAGGAAGAGTACCTTGCTATCTCCCATCATCTAATGGTTGAAACATGGTGTATTGATGGTTACATCAATCAAGCAGAAAAGTTTCTTAACTGACAGTTCTCTTGTCTGTAATGAAGGTAGCACCTGCTGGGTCATCAGGGTCCCAGCAGCAGCAGTGTGCACAGGGCCTGTCCTCCTCCTGTCCCCAACCACACTCAGGCATCCCAAGGCAGCCTGTGGGGCAGACTGTTCTGAAATGTTGCAGATTCTGTCCAGCAGAGTCCACCTGTTGTGGCTGACGAGAATCAATGCACAGGGACAATAATACTGTGTGGAAAAGGGAACAGGCACGAGTACTCTCTCAAGGAGAGAGTGCCTATGGTGCCTTGGCCACTCCCTCAAGAAGGGAGTGCCCTTGTAGCTCTTAAATGCTGGACCTGTGCCCATGGGGTGCGGCAATTGCCAGAGAGAAAGAACAAGGCTTCTGCTTACTAAAGGAAGTGTGGTCTCAAAGAGATTGACCTTGGAAAAATAACCTTCTTTTTTAGAGAAGGCCATGAGCCAAGGCTCACTGCAACAAAGACAACTGTGACAGGTATGAGTTGGACGTGGGCCAGGAAAGAACACTAGGTTTCCTGCCAACTGCAAGCAAAAGTCCACGCAATGAGATATACACTGTAAAAAACACTCACAAGCCCATCCCCAAGGCAAAATCCCCAATTAGATTTTAGGCTTGGGAGAGAGAGCAATGAACTTTCCTTTCAATTAGCATTTTTTTTACAAGCGCCTCTAAGCATTCTTTCTTTAAAAGCTGCTTTTTGCAGCCCTTTTGATTCTGCCTTTTTCTTCCACCTGCCCGTAAATGAGTGTTTCAATTTCAAATGGATTCCGAAGACTGCTTTGAGATCTCAGTTAGTTAATAGGATTATTTATGAGTGTTTCTGACACTGAAGATAAGAGGCAATTCCTCCCTCTGGCTTGAGATCTCAAGGGTTCCTACGTGAGTAGGGGCCTTGTCAAGGCATCTGGGGTCAATCCCTGCAACATGTAGGGGCCTCATAGGGACTTCTAATCACAATAATTTAACTCTGGGCTCAGTCAGGGAGCACAATATAAAGGTTGGTCATCTGGCACTTTGAGCCCTCCCTTGCAGTTTTAGACCCGTGGGGAAAACCTGAAACCCATAAGCGGGGTTAGGGCACCCTGGATACCAGACAGCCCTCCCTGATGGTTTTCACCAACAGTACATTTTTGACCCACCACACTATACTCCCCAATAGCTAATTAGCTAGGGTTTAATATGGGCTGTGGAATCTGAAACGGCAGAAATCGAAAGTAAAAATGGAAACTTTTAAACAACAAGTATAGGCTCTCTAAAGAACAAGAGCGCTCAGTGGATTGAGCGCAGGCCTGCGAACCAGACAATCGCGGTTCGATTCCCAGTCAGGGTACATACCAGGGTTGCAGGCAGGTTCCCTGCAGGCCAGTTCCCTGCAGGGGACGCATGAAAGGCAACCATACATTGATGTTTCTCTCCCTCTCTCCTTCCCTTCCCCTCTAAAGATAAATAAATAAAAAATCTTAAAAAAAAAAGAACAAGAAAAATAGGAAAGTTACTGAAATAAGGCAATTTCAGAAGCCTTTAAAAAAAAAAAAGAACAAGAGCAAGTGTGTGTGGGGTTTCAGGATGGCGGTGGACTAGGACGGAGCAGATACCAGTTCCTAGTACAAAAGAGACAGAAACCTATCCGATTGGAGGAGGTGAGGCCAGCAAGCCAGCAGTTGCCAAGCATATATGAAAATAAGAGACCAGAAACCTCATCGGTCACGGAGGAACCAGATGGTAGGGAGACAGCAGCGGTACAGTAGTCTCTGGGACGGAGCAGGGAGAAACAGCCGGTGCAGGGTAGGGGAACCAGCGCCCTGTGGCGAGAGCCCAACGGCTCCTGGGACAGCTTTCAGCGCCCGGGCGGCTCCCTCCCTGGGATTTTTCTGCAGGGCAGGCCGAGTGGCCCAGGCAAAGTGGTGTGGAAGAAATTTCAGCCTGCGTGCAATTTGGGGAACTAGTCGCTCCACACGCAGTGTGTCTGGGCAAATGCCTGAGGGCGCCTAGGCCAACGTTCAGTGCCCAGAAAGCTCCCTCCCTAGGATTTTTGGGCTGGGGACCTGCCAAGTGGCCCAACCAGAGGGGAGCAGAGGTGATTTCAGTCTGTGCATAGCTCGGAGGTTCAGCGCCTGGTGGGAACTGTGTCTGGGAGAGTGCCTAAAGGCGCCTGGGACAGCGTTCAGCGCCCGGACGTCTCCGTTCCTGGGATTTTTCTGTCGGGCAGGCCGAGTGGCCCAGGCAAAGAGGTGTGGAAGAAACTTCAGCCTGCGCGCAAGTTGGGGAACTAGTCGCTCCACACGCAGTGTGTCTCGGCAAGTGCCTGAGGGCGCCTAGGCCAAGGTTCAGAGCCCAGAAAGCTCCCTCCCTAGGATTTTTGGGCCCGGACCGGCCAAGAGACCCAACCAGAGGGGAGCAGACGAGATTTCAGCCTGCACACAGTTCTGGGTCCAGCACCCGGCGTGGTGCTGCTACATCCCTAGGTTTTTTATTTGTTTTTGTTTTTTTTTTTTTGCCAGAGGTTGGCCAGGGGACCCAGACAAACACAGGAGCAGAAGGGATACACACCATGCAGCATGCCATGACGAGCACACAGAGTTTCTAGGTCGGCGCCCAGTCCTCAGATCGGCTCCCGGCTTCCAGTCTACCCCCCTCAGACTATCTGGAAGCCCGGGGAGCTGAGGGGTCCTGGGAAAAGAGCTGAGACCCTCAACCCTCTCCCTTTCTGGCCAAGCAAGGTGGGGGGCCAGGAGAGACTTGTGTGATAGAGTTTACAGAGAGGGTGTGGAGGACAAAGGGCCCCAACCAAAGACTCTGTGGTTGCCAGCCCAGGAGAATTCAGAGGTGCAGCCTGGGGCTCTGAATCCAGTAGACACGGCAGCCTGGTCTGCTTCACACCCAGCTTGGCAGCAAACCCAAGATTGGGCAGAGGGTCTGGAGCTTCCCAACTGAATGGGGGCAGGCCTGTGCTCAATCCCGAGGGAACCAGGCAACTAGGCCGGTGCAGGTGCCTGCAAACACAGCAAACCAGACTATGGCAGTAACCCCTGGGAGGGGAGCGCTGCGAGAAACTCCTAGTTCCCCATTGTAGAGAGCTGGGGGACAGGCGCCAAGTGTCTGGATCCTGAGAGGGGCTGGCTGAAAAAATCACAACAATCGACCCTCAGCCAACTGCAACCAGAAAAACCGGTTCGGCTAGTTTGAAGCCAACAAGTGATATTTCCTTTTCTGAGGTTGTTTTTGAGAGATTTTTTTTGTTTGTGCGTTTTTTGTTTTTTCTTTTTTTACTTTATTTTATTTTTATTCTTTCTTTTTTTATTTACCTTTCTTCCTTCTCCATTCCTTTTCTTTATCTTTTTGCTTTTTTAAAGTAATCTGTTATTTCTTTTAAACTTTATTACTGTTTCATCTTTCCATACTTTTGTCCTCTTTTCCCGGATTTTCTGTTTTATTTCTTTTTCTTTTCTTTCTAAACTTATTGCTCTTTCTTACATTCCCCTACCATTTTTTTCTTTCTTCCTTTTATTTCTTTCCTTGTCATTTTTTTCTTTTACCCACAAGAGTCACAATCAACTTGAAAATATGAAAAGACCAGAGCTGGACCCATAGAAGAGGCCTCCCAATTGTAGAGTCAGAGAGACAAATTGCACATTGTTGTAGGAGAGAAGCCACAAGTTGCTGCATATTTGAGTAGGTGGAAGCAGAGAACAACAGGATAACCAAAAGAGGCGCCTGCGCCATTGAAATTCACAGGCATTCCACCACAAAAGTTCATACCATAAACCCAGGGTGTCAAAACAGATTAATCTAAGAAGCTGAGGCTAACTAGAAGAGTCTCACAAACAATGGGAAGACAAAGAAACAATCCCCAAATGAAAGGAAAGGAGGAATCCTCAGAAAGAATGTTAGATGAAATAGAGGCAAGTCAACTATCAGATACCAAATTCAAAGCACTGGTTATCAGGAAGTTCAAAGAGCTCACAATCAGCTACCAGAAACTACAGGGAAGCTACAACGATTTTACTGTGAACTATATCAACATGAAAAAGGAAATGGAAATTATTAGCAAGGGCCAAGAGGAAATGAAGAATACAATTTCTGAATTAAAAAACACAGTGGAAAGCATTAAAAATAGGGTGGATGAAACAGAAGGTCAGATTAGTGAATTGGAGGACAAAGTAGGAAGCATCTCACAGAAAGAACAGGAAAGGGAAAAGAGGCTCAGAAAGAATGAAGAAAGATTAAGAGAAATGCAAGACAATATGAAACGTAATAATATCCAAATAATAGGAATACCAGAAGGAGAAGAAGAAGAACAAGGGATAGAAAACATATTTGAAAGAGTAATGAGAGAAAATTTCCCTAATTTGACAAAAGAAAAAGTCACACAAATCCAGGAATCACACAGAGTCCCATTCAAGAGGAACCCAAAGAGGCCCACTTCAAGACACATCATCATTAAAATGGCAAAATTCCAAGACAAAGAGAGAATCTTAAAGGCAGCAAGGGAGAAAAAAGAAATAACATACAAGGGTGTCCCAATAAG